CTGGGCGTGGAGGCCGCCCTGGGCCAGCAGCTGCTGGTGGGTGCCCTGCTGCACCACGCGGCCCTTGTCCAGCACCACGATGAGGTGCGCCCGCTCCACCGTGCTCAGCCGGTGCGCGATGATGAGCACCGTGTGCTGCTGCAGGTTGCCGTGGATGGCGCGCTGGATCTGGGGAGACAGGAGGCCGGCTGGCCACCCACCACCCGCCTCATCCCTCCTCCTCCCGGACCCCGTCCGCCCCGCCTGCCTGGATCCCAGCTCTCCCACCTCCTCGCGCATGAGCTGGGTTCATCTGAAAAGCCGGGACTTGTGCAAGACCTGCTTCTGGGCTCTTGTCCCTGGGGACAGGCTCAGCGCCCAGCAGCAGGGGGAGCCCGGTGAGTGACAGGTGGGCCCCACCTGGCCTTCCTGCTCCGTCCTCGGCCCTCAGCCTTGGGGGGTGGTCTCCCCATCTGCCCCAGAGCCCATGCCAGTGAAACGAAACCATCGCCCTCCGTTCCTCAACCTCGCTCGGGGCCCGAATCCAACTCAGAGCGAGTCCTGTGGACGCTGTCTCCCCAGTTACCTCGCTCTGCTCCGTCCCTCCCCCTCCCCCGCATCTCGCCCCCTGTTCCATTCCCCACACTGCTTAACGTGTCCAATCAGTTCTCGTTGAACTCTGGCTCCACGCCCTCCACTGGCTTCTTGTCCCACTTGGGATAAAACCCAAACTCTGTCTATGATGGCAGACACACAACATTCTCCACTTGTCAAACCCACAGAATGCGCACCACAACGGTGATCTCCAGTTTAAACCACGGACCCTCGTTAGTAAGAATGCATTAATATTGGCTTGTCAATTGTAACAATGTGCCACAATAATATGGGAATTCTCTGAATTTTCTGCTCCATTTTCTTGAGATCTAAAACTGCTCTAAAATTTCCAATCTATTAATTTTTTTTAAGATATGTTTTTTAAAAAATTGATAGTAGAGAGAGGAAGGGAGGGGGAGAAAGAAATATCAATGATGAGAGAGGATCATTGATCGGCTGCCTCCCTCACGCCCCCGAGTAGGGACCAAGCCCACAGCACGGGCATGTGCCCTTGATCGGAATTGAACCCGGGACCCTTCAGTCCACAGACCGACGCTCTATCCACTGCACCAAACCGGTGAGGGCGACACACTGGCCTTCGGACTCGGCTGTGAACCTGCTCCGGCCTTTGCCCCTGCTGCCCCTCTCCCTGGGATGTTCTCACCCCAGAACTCCCCTGGCTCCCTCCTTCCCTTTCGGGTCCCGGCTCAAGTGGTAGCTGAGGACCCCGGTTCTGGCTGTGGACCCAGCAGACTCGGGGCACGCCTGCTCCCTCCGAAGCTGCACTCTCAGAGCCTCCACTACGAAGGGCTGTACTCGCACACGTCCTCTGAGCCTCTGAGAAGCGTCTGTGAGCCCCCTAACTTGGGGGCATCCTTCTCAAGGACCGGAGGCCACGCTCTGGCAGCACAATCATCAGGGTGGCCAGGGCCTCGGTCCCCGTCTCCGTGGGAGGACAGAACCCCAATTTCAGCAGCTGCTGGCAGCAGGCCCCGCTGGCCTGGCCGCATCCACACAGACCAACCCTTTATGGTTTCCCCTGGAGCCCGGCTCTTCCCTGCGGACAGGAGCCGCTGAATGAGCTCTGTGTCTCCCGCCTGAACTACTGTCTGGCAGTTTCTCTTCGACAATGGTGACCCCTCCCGATCTCTGGGTCACATGACTGCTTCATTTTCTACGGAGCAGAGGCCACAGGTTGCACTCACGCTTGGGTCCTTGTTTAGTATCTGTCTCGCCCCCAGGAACGGAAACACCGTGGGGGCAGAGTGTGTGCCGGGCCGGTCAGTCCGCCACTGTACCCCCAGTGCCTGGATCGGGGCCTGGCGCCTGGGAGGACACAGTAAATACCGGACTAGCTTCCGCCGGTTTGGCTCAGTGGATAGAGCGTCGGCCCGTGGACTGAAAGGTCCCAGGTTTGATCCTGGTCAAGGGCACGTGTTCCAGCTGCAGACTCGATCCCCGGCCGTGGTTGGGGCGCATGGAGGACGCAACCAATGGATGTGTTTCTCTCACATCAACGTTCCTCTCTCTCTGTCTCTCCTCCTTTCCAGTCTCTCTAAAAATCAATGGAAGAACATCCTCAGGTGAGGATTAAAAAAATAAATAACTACTGGCTAACAAATTAACCGACCCACGGGGAGACGAGAGTCAAGTACATGGGGCCTCTCAAAACCAAAACGGCCCTGGCTGGTGTGGCCCCGGTGGCTGGGCGTTGTTCCCGCGTGGACAGGTCGCCGGTTTGATCTGGTCGGAGCACACGCCTGAGGTGGACTCCATCACTGGAGGGGGCGTGCAGGAGGCAGCTGACCGGTTTCTCTCTCACATCAATGTTTCTCTCTCTCTCTCTCTCTCTCTCTCTCTCTCTCTCTCTGGAAAGAAATATAAAGATTAAAAACAAAAAAGGAAATGTCCCAGTCTATGAAGCTGATGGTCTAGGGGAGCCCCCTGGGCACCCCCAAGCCTGTCCCAGCATCGCCCGCCCCCCCGCCCCCCCTT